CCATTTACTCCATATTAATTTCATTGTCCCCCTCTTTCACATATTTATTTTACGCCTTCCAATTTTTCATCTTCCCTCTTCGTTACTTTGGCATTTTGAAATTTTCGCTCTTTGCTCTTCCTCTGTCAAGCGTCTCTAAACCTCCATTGTTGTGGTAAGTTCTTGCTTCTTCGTCTTTATTTTTGTCCTGACTTTCGCTTTACTTGCTTTTTCTCCTTTAATTCTTGCTCTTTTGTTAACTTTTTCCTTCTTTGTTCTTCTTAATTGCAGATTTGGACTTTTGTCTTGCTTGGGCTTTTATCTCTGCCATTGTTGTTGTACTCTGTTGCTTCTGCAACTTTTTTCCTTAAAGGTACTTACTTTTTGTACCTTTTATTGTTTGTATTTTCCCAATTTTGCTTCTTTTTACTTTTTCTTCGCAAGATTGTGCCTTTTGATTTCCCAATTGTCGCTATTCCCATTTCTTCTCTTTTGTTGTTGTATTTGCATTCTTGGCTTTTTTCTACATATTCCTTCATTGTTTCTAAACAGATTCTTTGATTTTCTCGTGCCCCATTGCTTTTTCCTTCCTTTGCAGGCCTATATTCCTTTGTAGACTTCATAATGTTTGACGCCTCTGATAGTCAGAATACGAGTGAGCCTCAAACGGCGACAGGATCGGATTCCTCCTCTTCCCGATCTTCTTCTTCAGGTGAGCGTCCTGCGCACACTTCTTCTAATTCTCCTACTTCTTTACAAACTTTTATGCCTCCTGACCATCCCCCCACTGCGAGCGGGATGGGTACTATTGTGACTCCTGCTGCTTTGTCTGGGCCAAGCAGTAGTCGTCCCGGTGAGGGTAGTGCATTTCGCCCTTTCCAGCGTAAACCCCGTCCTGATTTCTTTGATCCTTACTGTGAGCGAGTGCTTACGCTGGTTGGGATTCCCTTATCCCATCTTACTCGCCTGAGGTTGCGCGCAATGCGCCATAAAATGTTGGCTGATGTTGTTAAGGCCAATCCCCCTGATGTGTCTCTTGTTAGCCCCATTCCCCATGTTCAGCCTTTAAACAGTTTTTCTTGGCTTGATGACATGGCTGACATGCATCGGTTTGATCATTATGTAGTGGGCGGTGGGAATACTAAGACTCCATCACCTTCTCCTTCCCCAGCAATTCAATCAAGTAGAATGGTTGAGTCTCCTGGTGACCGCTCATACTTCGACTGTCAACCCACTTATGTTGTTGAGCCCGTAGAGGAGGGCAAGACTGAATTCTTCCTTGATGACAAGTGTTATGGGCCTAAGAACTGTGTGCTAGATTCCAGTTGGCGTAAAGACGCTGAGAGATTGGGCTTGGCTGCTGTTAGGCAGAAGTTTTACAGTTTTGGGGAGGGCTACGAGCTGGTTCTGCCTGCTAACGGTGCGAAGTTATCAACCCCTCCTGCAGGTTATATTGCTGTGGTTGCCTCGCAGCTAGACTTGGGCTTGAGGTTCCCCTTGGACCCTACCTTAGAGAAGCTGCTATGTGTTTTTAACATCTGCATATCTCTGGTGCACCCTGCCTCCCTTTATACCCTGATTTGTCTATTGTGGTTTTTGAGGTTTCGAAGGTACCCTGAGTCCCTGCATTTGTTCAAGTCTCTCATGAGCCTGAAAAGATCAGCCTCTGGGACTGAGTCATGGTGGTACTATGTCGCTCCCAAAGAGAGTAGAGTCTTGTCCTACCAAAAACTTAGGCGTTTCAGGGACTGGATTGGCAAGTTCTTCTAGGTGAGGGTGCCTTCCAATTTTGCTGCTCCGTTCAACTTTAGAGACATTCACACCAACATAGCTGGGGTCACAGTTTCTCCCTCTTAACCTGCTCGTGAGACAAAAGCTTTTGAGGCTCTGTAGGGAGCGGGGACAAGTGAATCCAAGTTTCCCAAAGTCTGGCTGCCCAACTCTATTTACATCGTGGGTAATGAGCAGCTTTCGGCCATGCGTTTGTGCCGTACACATGAGTCTAGTAAGCTCTTTCTACCTTCTGCCTTTTTTCTGTCTTTTCTGCCTTATTTGACTTTTTGTCATTTTGTGTTTTTAGGCTATGACAAGTTGGACAAACGCATGCTCGGGATGGCCAATAATTGGAAGGAACCCTCCTCAGCTCTTTGATACGCTGGAGGTGTTTGCGGGTTCCCTGAAGGGCGAGGTGCGAATGGCTCCTGCTGAGCTGCGGGCACTCTCCAGCAGGATCGTCCAGTGATTGACCTGGAGGACGATCATGTGTCTTTTGCCCCTGCTAGGGATGAGCCAGAGGCGAAAAAAGGCTCACACTTCTCCTGGCCCAGACCCTCTTCCTTCCACGTCTGCCTACACTGGACTTCCAGGTGGGGACGTTGGTGGGGGAGACATTCAGAACTCCAGTGAGCTTAACCGCTGCGTTCATCAGTTCTGGGTGATGCCTTTGAGAATCCTCTTTCTGCGTCCTCACTCTCTGCATGAGGGACTTTTCTCCCTACTAGGACAATTGAGTTTGGTGAGGTCCCTATTGACATTCATCTTCGCCCAATACTCTATCCTTCTGGAGCGGAGAACACTCCCTTTCGGCCATTGATGAATGTGAGGGCTGATGAGTCTTTATTTGTAAACAACCCTCAGAAGGGTGGTACTCTAGGATACCGCCTGACTTAGGAGGTTCGTCTCCCTGCGGATTCTACGCGCAGCTTAGTCTGCCTTGTAGCAGCTACTGCTCAGTCAGTCCTTGCTTTTAGCTTTTCTTTTTCTCGTTTCAGCTTTTCTCTGCTTATTTTGTCACTCCTGTCTTGTTTTACTTATTATTATACTTTTTTTTTTATCGTTAACTTCTTTTGTTAACTCACACTTTGGCTAACTCTTCTTTTCTACTTTTCTTGCAGCTTGTTATGTTTGTGGGAGATTTGTCCAATGCCTTGCTGTCAGTGCAGAAGGAATATCAGAACCAGGGTATAACTCTTTCCCAGAAGACTCTGGAGGTTCAGCAGGCTCAAGCTAAGAGGGATGCTATGGCCAATGAGGTGACTCCGCTGAGGGAGAAGGCGGATGCCTTGCAGCTCCAATAGAGAGAATATCAGCTCACTCAGACCAAGCTGATGGACTGCGAGGAGCAGTTGGGGACTTCTCAGGCCAGGGTGAAGACGTTAGAGGCGGATGTGGAAGATTTACAGGCTGCGCATGCTGTTGCGCTGAAGGCTGCTAGGAGAGAGGCTCTCAAGTCTTTTGCGCTCTCTCCTGCTTTTGCTAAGCTCCTGGCTGATCGCCATGATGCAGGATGGGAAGCTGCGGCTCGATGCGTTAGCAGCTTGTATGGTGAGGGTGAAGAGCAGCAGGCTCGCTTTAATGCCTTCTGGGCTAAGGTTGAAGCTGCAAGTGAGGATGGTTTGTTCGATCTTCCCGCTGATCACCCTCGCGCTGCTGGCTGCAAGATCCCCGACCAGGTCGTGCTGAAGTTGGAGGTGCCTCTCTCCCCTGACGTTGCTACAGCTATTGGAGTAGAGTCTCTGACTGATGATCAATAAAGGTTATGACGGCTGTCACCCTCCTACTCCAGCGGTTCCTCTGAGTTTCCCTCACCCAGATCTGTTGTAACTAGGTAGTGTTTGTTACTATCTTTGGGATGTATAGCTGCCAAAGATTATATTTCTCTGTGTATTTTCAGAATACTTTTTCTTTTGTTGCTGGATCTGTCCAGCTTAACTTGAATTTGTGATCTTCTAACTTTACCCGCTGAGTGTTTCGTTGTCCTGGTGGATGAGGGCTCAGCTTTATTTGTTCTGTGACTGACTTGCTGAATTTTTACTCTACCTTGGTGGGCAGGGGTTCAGCCTTATAACGTATGTTCCTTATGATCTCCTCTTGCTGCTTTTCTTGATTTTTACTTCATTGTTTGCATGCTTGCTCCTTATTACGTTTGGTGAGGCCTCGTAGGTTGGGCCTTCCTGTCTTTTTAATTTAGCTGCCTAGTGCATTTCTGTTTCTTTTGCGCTCTGCTGTGCTTCAACAGGGACTTTGTTACATTTTGCCCTTCCTGCTTTATCTACTTCAAGTGTTTGCGCGTTGTGTACTTCGCTTGGCTTTTACCAAAGGCTTCGTCTGCGTGTTTGTTAACATATTTGATTGAGCGTTATTTGACTTATCCTTGCTGAGACTTGTTTGTGTCGATCAGCTTTTTGCTTATTTCGTCTGTGTCATCAGCTTTCTTTGCTGTGACTTATTTGTGTCGTTCAGCTTATCTATGCTGCGACTTGTTTATGTCGTTCAGCTTGTTTACGCTGCGACTTATTTATGTCATTCAGCTTGTTTATGCTGCGACTTATTTATGTCATTCAGCTTGTTTATGCTGCGACTTATTTATGTCATTCAGCTTGTTTATGCTGCGACTTATTTATGTCATTCAGCTTATTTACTACCTGCTTACTTCTTTTTGTAAGGGCTTACTGCTTGACTGTCTTCTCCTTTCCTCTCCCCCTCGAAGAGATGGGCATAATGGGACTAAGAGAACCTTAGTGTTGCCCATGTAGCTCATCCTCTTCTTTTCCTCTCTTTCCCCTACTCAAACGGAACGTGTCAGGCTCCCTCTCTGGTGTTCCCGAGCTGGTGCCCTGTTTTGCTTTTTGCAAGTGAAGTGAGGTTTTAAGGAGGGATGCTTTCACTTTGTCATTTTGCGCTAGAGTGCTTCTTGCCTCTAACACTTTATTATTATTCTTTTTTTATTTCTACATGTTATTATATAATGCTTGGGCATACTATATTAAACAAATTTATGCGACATACTCCTCACGCAGAGGCTTGTATTTCATTGAATAAAAATGGATCAAATGCCTTAGTTAACATAACATGGACTGAATAAAGGTTTATCGACTCTAAACGGCTATGTTTCAGGCTATTTAAACAAAATATTTCTTTAACACATCAGTATTGAAACTATTTCTTAATACCTGACCTTCTTGATCTGCAAGGAGGAACGTGCCTGGTCCAACCTGCTCGTTAATGATGAAAGGGCCTTCCTAGTTTGCTAACAGCTTTCCATGCTGATTTCCTCTTCCATCTCCTACTGTCCTCCTAAGGACTAAGTCTCCTCGCAAGAGCTCCCTGTGCTTGACCCTTTTGTTGAAAGCTTTTGAGATCCTGCTCTTTTGGGCTGCCAGCTTAAGGGCTGCTTTTAGCCTTACTTCTGGCAAGAAGTCTAGCTCTTCAATCATGCGCTTTTCATTTCCTTGCTGCTCATAGTGATGTATCCTCAGGCTGGGGATTTGCACTTCCACAAGGACAACTGCATCAACCCCGTAGGCCAGGGTGAAAGGGCTTTTACTAGTTGACTCCTTCTCAGTGGTCCTATTATCCCACAAGACCTCTGGGACTAAGTCTGCCCACATGCCCTTGTACTCCTCCACCTTCTTTTGTAGGGCTGTCAAGATCAGCTTGTTTGTTGCTTCTTCTTGGCCATTGCTCTACGGGTGGTAGACTAAGGCACTTGCATACTTGGTGCCCATATCCCCCAGGTAGTCCTGTATGGTGTCACAGTCAAATTGGCACCCGTGATCAAAGACTATGCAATGTGGCACCCCGAATCTAGTGATGATGCTCTTCCATATAAATTTTCTGACCTGGGTTGCCTTTATGTACTTGGTGGGCTCAGCTTCTATCCACTTTGTAAAGTAATCTATTGCCACAACAAGATACTTCCTGCCTGCTGACCTAGTGGTGAAATGTCCCAATATGTCCATTCCCCACTGAGCGAAGGGGATTGGGCTGAGGATTGGAGTCAGATAGTTTGCTGGCTGATTTATGACTGGTAAATATTTTTGACACTTGTTGCATTTTTTAACATATGCTAGTGCGTCTTGCGCGAGAGTTGGCCAATATGCCCCTCTTCTAAGGACCTCTACTCCCAATGCTTTTCCGCCAATATGGTTGGCACATATTCCGGAGTGGGCTTCTTCCATAATTCCCTCCTGCTCCGATTCTTGAATACGCCTCAGCAGTGGCTTTGAGAAGCCTTTCTTGTTGAGCTCTCCATTCATCACTACATACCAATTTGCGTCTTTCTTCACCATTTTAGCCCGTACTTTATCATCGGGCAGCGAGCCATGAAGTTTGTACGCCAAGATGTCTAAGAACCAGGCTCTCTGACTCCCAACGTAGTTTACCTGCCCCTTTTGAGCAATGCTGCTTTCCATTAACACTTCGACCATCACTGTTCTTGTGAGGCTTTGTAAGGTGGAGCTGGCTAACTTAGATAACGCGTCAGCCTGAGAGTTTCCTGCTATAGAGACCAAGTCTATCTGGAAATGGACTAGCTGGGCTGCCAGTTCTTTCACTTTGGTTACATATTTAATCATAATAGCTTCCCTTATCTAATACGCCGCCTGCAGTTGGCTTGCAACGAGCTGAGAATCAGTTTGCAGGTGTACTTTGCGGGCTTCGGCTGCGAGGCTCATACGCTGGCCTGCCAGCGTCGCCTTGTACTTTGCTTCATTATTAGACGCTTTGAACTTGAACTTGATGGCATACTCAAATACGTTTCCTTGTAGAGACGTCATTATGACTCTTGCCCCAATCCCCGTTTGGGCTGAGGATCCATCCACTTCCACCTTCCAGACCCTTATCTCATCCTCTTTCTCCTCATAGGAGGCTTCCACTATAAAGTCTGTTAAAGCTTGTGCCTTGATGGCTGCTCTAGGATTGACCTTGAATTCATACTCAGAAAGCTCGATTGCCCACTTTAAGAGTCTACCCGATGCATCCATCTTTTGTAATGCTTTCTGCAGCGGGTGGTTTGTTAAGACCTCTATTATATGCACGTCAAAATATGGTTTTAGCTTTCTCGCTGCTGTTACCACTGCGAAGGCTAACTTCTCTACCAGGGGTATCTTTGCTCTGCCTCAGTCAGCACGTGGCTCACGAAATATGTCCTGCTTGCGTGATGCTCTTAACAATTGAGTCGTCAACGTATACTTCCACATTTCTTCCCTTCTTGTGAAGGAACACTCTATCCATTGCCTTCCAAAAAGTTGCTCCAGCGTTCTTCAGCCCGAAGGGCATAGCTATGTAATTATTCACTCCCCTTTCGGTAATGAATCAGTGTTCTGCCAATCTGGCTCGTGCACGCTGATCTGATGGTACCCTGATAAGGCGTCCATGAAGCTTAGCAGGGCGTGCCCGCTGGTTGAGTCTACCAGTTAATCTATCCCCGGCAGTGGGTAACAGTCCTTCGGGCAGGCCTTATTAAGATCCGTGAAATCAACACACATTCTCTATTGGCCATTTGCCTTCTTCACCATGACCACGTTGGCTAACCATTCTGGAGAGTCACAGGGTTCAATAAATCCTGCTTCCAAGAGTTTTTCCACCTCTTCCTGGATTGCCTGGTTTTTCTCCGTGGAGAAGCTTTGCTTTTTCTGCCTGACTGGCCTAATATCCTCCTTCACATTCAACCTATGCACCATGATTGGTGGGTCAATTCTGGGCATCTCATCTGCGGAAAAGGCAAAGAAGTCTTTATTCTTTCTAAGCAGCTCTATGAGGTGCACCCCTACTCCTGGATCAATGTCTTTCCCAATTTTCACTGTCCTCGAGGGATCACCTTCTGTGAGCTCGACTGTGACATGCTCCCCGCTGGGAAGTGGTCTGGCCATTTCTTCTTTTGCAGGCTCAAAGTTTTCCATTGCCAACTTCTGTTTATCTTTTTCCCTGTGATACTCTGTTTCCTTTTCCTCGACTTCCTCTCAGGCTGCTCAGGGAGCCTTCTCTTGGAACCGGACTGCTGTGTGGTTTTTGCAGGCTGCTTTAAGGCAGTTATGTAACATTGTTGGGCTGTCTTCTGGCTTCTCCTGAGCTTTGCTAACCGACCCTCATTAGTTGTGTAAGTCATGGCCAGGTGGTAAGTGGATACCACCCCGCCTATCTTGGGGATGAGCGGTCTTCCCATGATTACATTGTAGGGTGAAGGGGAGTATATCACGAGAAATTCTTCTCGGATATCACGCTTTCTTGACATCTCTCCTACCCGGACTGAGAGTTCAATTATGCCTTCTGGGGTGAGCCCCGAGCCTAATAATGACATCGTAGTTTACTCTCTTCAGGTCTTTTCTGTCCAACTTCAGCTCATTGAACGCACTGATGTATATGATGTTGGCTGAGTTGCCTCCATCTATCAGTATTCTATCCACCACCCAGTTTGAAATTCTCATTGTCACCACCAGCGGGTCATCATGAGGGTAAATTATGCCCTTCTGTTCATACTCGTCAAACGTGGCTTGTGGCTGCGGGGGAAGAGGTGGCCATCTACGCTTAACATTTTCGTTTATTTGATGTATCATTGCCGGCAGGTCAGCCCGTGCTCTATTAACTTTCCCCCCATGTACTGGACCCCCGCTGATCACGTACACCCTGCCCTTTGGCTTGCCATCTCTATCCTTGTCTCTAGCTGGGCCCCTATAGCCTCCTCTGGGGTCAGCTTGGCCCGCTCTATCCTCCTCCCTTCTTCTGGGAGGGTCATCACGTTGCTTAAATTGACTCAAGTATCCTCTCCTGACTAAGTCCTCTATGTTGTCCTTCAAGTGCGTGCATTCTTCAGTGGTGTGGCCATAGTCCCTGTGAAAGTCACACCACTTACTAGTATCGCGACTCCGGTTTACCATCCTTGGAGGCCTCTTCCACTTATCATCAGCCTTATTTACGCTGAATATGTGAGATCTGGAATGGGTTAGTGGGGTATACTGATCAAACTTCCCATGCCTTGGCCCTCTCCTTGTATCGGACCTTCTCAGTCCCACTGCCCTGTCCGCTTCTCTATGGTTTTGCTCAGCCCTGCTCGGCTGTTCCATCCTGGGTGTGTTCTCTGCTCGGGTAACCTCTGCCCACTTAACTGAGTCACTTGTTGCTTTCCTACCCAGCATTGCTCTGTTAGTCTCGTCTACTTTGATGAACTTATGCGCTTTACCCAGCGCTTCAGCGAGCGTTTTGAGGCTCTTACGCCCCATATATGCTCTGAATGGTGACCCTGGCAGTAGGCCACTCTGCATTGCTAACAGCGCTACCTCCTAGCTCATATTTGGAATGGTTGTTGCCTCCTTGTTGAATCTGGTGATGAACTCCCTCAGGGGCTCATCCTTTCCCTGAACCAAGGACATCAGCTCAGTTGTCATCTTGGTTCTGTCCACCAAGATTATGAAATGCTCCATGAACATTCTCTTCAGCTGGTTGTACGTGTATACAGAACATTTGGGGATGGCGCTGTACCATTCCACTGCCAGCCCCTCCAGAGTTCGTGGGAAAGCCTTACACCAGACTGAGTCTTTCATGGTGTAGAGTACCATATGATTCTCGAAAGTTGATATATGGCTTTTGGGTGTTGTGGTTCCATTGTACTTGCAGCTCGACATCTTCACCTTCTCCATGGGCTCTTCCAGAATCTCCCGGCAAAATGGGGAATCATCTAGAACAACCTGGATTCGCGCTCGTTTGTCTCTCTCCGGGCTGGGTCCTTGCTTTTTGCCCGGTGACCTACTGCGAGGTACCCGCTTCTCTGGGCTGATTCCAGCGGGGGTTATTTCCTCCAAACTCCATTCTCGATTTAGATTGCGAGTTTCCAGCTCCAATACCTTTTTCCCTCAGCTAAATGAGCTCTTTCTGCTCGGGGGTGAGAGTTGAGACTTCCGGCTTTTTTGCTGCGGGCTCCAATACCTTTTTCCTCAGCTAAATGAGCTCGCTCCCTTACCCATATTGGTAAGGACTTCCGTCATTGTTGCCAGCTGTTCCTTATTGCACTTAAAGAGGTTCTGCAAGATGGCTGACATGTTTACGGGTTGCGGTTTCTGGGATACAAGTGCTGAAACAATGGGCTCATTGTTCGCGCCTGTTAACGGCATTCCATATTTGAAAATGGAACTGGATCCTTTCGGATCGACTGGTTTCGACGCCGCTTTAGCTGCAGCTAATGTCAATCCGATGGGGTTGGATTTCTGTTAGATGGTCGATTTGGGATTTTCGGTGGATCCTTTTGGATCGTGGGTTACTGAGGGTGTTTTTTGTGGTTTTTGGTTGGTCTCATTGGCTTTGGATATGGGTGTTTGTACAGTTTCTTCTCCAGCCATGGTGGTTAATTCACTAGTCCCTAGCTTAGTTGGTGAACCTCAGGTTAGATGATCCTGCCCCCTCCTTCTAGCGCCAATTGTTCCAGGTATGGATCCAAGGGTTCTGCTGGGTGAGCTGGGTCCCGTCAATAACCTACACACGGAAGCACACGTAAGCTACCCTCGGGGGTGGCTCGAGGAACCCCCTTTCGAAGCTTAAGTTAGACAGTATTTAGAGAGAGAAAGTGTACTTAGAGAGATATAGAAAGTTTAATAACTTGAGTGTCTAACCTTCTTTTCGTTGTACTTTACCCTCTATTTATAGGCGTACTATCTCCTTCGTGGAGAGTTTAGCTTGCGGGCTGACTCTGCCGGGCTGATGAGCCCTCCTTTAATTGCTTATTCAGCGGTGAGTGTGCACCCTAGGGGCTGGGCGATAGTTCAGCGGGAGCTATCCTATACAACTACCCATAATCACTTGAGTAGGGCACTCAAGAGAGCTACGTTTGGCCTGATTCCTTAAGAAAGGATACGTAGGCAACCCTTTACGGGTGCGGCCACTTTATTTTTTTCAAATCTCGCATCCCAGGCTTAATAAAAAATTCAAAAGATATCGACGAAACATCGGCATCACAGAAAAAATTCTTGCGCCAGCCGATGAACATTAGCGTCAGACGACAACCTTCGTCGCCTGACGCCAGACTGCCGTAGCAGGCGCTAGTCGTAGAATAGTGGCGCCAATTTAGTGTAAAATATCGGGGAATATTTCGGTGTTTTTCGGAAAATTTTCGACTTCTGTACTCGAAAAAATTTATGGAAAATTAATTTTTTGGTTTTCATTGCTTTAATAAATTAAATTTAAAGTAAATAATTTAATTAAAAAGCTGAAATTTCAATAATAAAATAAATTACATTATTGATGAAATTTAAATAAAGCTTAAATAAATTAACTTTGAATTTAAAAACTAAGTCTAATAATTGAAAATTAAGCAATGCTCTTAATCTTCATTCTCTTTCTTAGTCCTCTTCCAATTCTTATCTACGTCTTCTTTCTCATCCATAACCTTATCTAGTAGGCATCCTTTAGAGGACCTACATTCAATCTTTGAGTAAATAGTCTCTCCCTTGTCTAGGACCCTATGCTTCTTTTCTACCCAAGCTTTCTTCTCTATGGTGTCAGCTTTCCTTTTTCCTTTATCTTTCGCATAATTTTCTTCTTAGGCATTGTAGGTGTTTTGAACTCAAATCTTTCACCCAAGAGTTCCTTAATAGGAATCACTTTGTCACCTAGATGACTCTTCACATCAGTTTTACTCTGATTTTTCTTCACGTCCTTTGAAGGTTTCTTCAGAAGCCACTTTTTCACATCATTGGGCAAAGAAGGAGGAACCTTTTGGGTAATCACTTCCCATAAAGGTCTAGCGCTCCAATAAGCATCAACTTTGTCTACTTCCTGAGAGACAGGGAACTTGTAGGGACGATGAAGATTGCCGTAAGGAATTGTCTGAAGTAGGTCGTACTGTCTTTTTACCCTGCTGGGATAATAAAAAGTCATTCGGGAAAAGCTTGGAAGACGGGAGAAAGGCTGCTTGTTGACACCAACCATCTTTTCTATTTTCCACCAAGGAATGACCCACTTAATGGCAAAATTGTAAGACTCGAAGAGCATCTTCCATTCGTGGCGCCCCATCTTAGAGAAGTGTTTCTTCCTTCTCACGAAGCATTTTGGAGTATACTTCTCAATATTGTCCGGAGGGCTAATTAATTCCAATCTTTCCATTAGCCACATATGTAAAATAATTTCAATACAAATAAATTATTATTACTATACAATAATATATTTTTGAATTCATTGATTAAAAGTGTTATTTTTCTACCTGTAATAAAATAGGAGAGCCCCGGAAAGGTACTTTTGGATTCTTCTTTAATTCATCAAGACTAAGCATAGTCTCTCCAACTATTAAGGGCATTGGATTTCTCCCAGATTCAATCTACTCTAAAACAGTGGATATAATTGCTTGACCCTCATTATTTTTACCACTAGTGAAAAAATATTGATTATGCATGCAAAAGAGAAAAGCCCTTCTTCTATAAACATGGAAAGATTCGGAATAAGGTCTATCAAAATAATGACGGGCAAATTCTTTCAAATTAACTATGCTACCATCTACTATTTTTGTTAGATCTTTGTCTTTTAAGTTGAAGAAGCGTTCAAAATCCTTATCATAATATTCGTTTATTCTAGGGATTACTACAAGATCTAGTGCAGGGAAGCCTAAAATAGCACCGAATTCTTCCAGCAAAGGGCTAATTTCATCATACCCTAATCTAAAGCAATGAGTATCTACATCCCAATATTCTAGAGCGGTATGAATAAAATCTAAATCAAGATCTAACCCTTTGACACCATAAACACCCCCAAGGTGAAACACATCTAACTCTTTTCTCTCCTTGGCATTAAGAGACCGGCACCATTCATAAGTGAAGTTGGTAAATCTTTTAGGGACTAGAGACATGTTTTTTATTTTTTTTAAGGGCTAAGAAAACATTTAATCTGCTAAACTTGTGAAGAAAATCGGTTGGGCAGGGGGCTATTTATACACAAAGTCGGCCCAGTTTTAATCCGGGAAGGATTCGAAGTCAGCGCTCATTAGCGCCAGACGTCAAACATTGGCGCCTGGCGCCAAACGCTAAGCGTAGCGCCTTTCTCTACACCAAAACGTGTGGCGCCAGGTGGCACTAACGTGTCTTATTGTACGAGCTCTCCAAAAACCGCGTTGTTAGACATGATTTGAGTCCGACCAGTGACTTTACGATTTGTTTTATTATTCCTTTTTTTTACCTTTAATTTAATTCTTCTTCTTAATTAATATAACTATTATATTACCTATATTATTTTTCGGATTTTTAAATTTTTACAACTCCAATCTTTTTTTACTTTTATTTTTTTCTTTTTTCTTTTTTAGGGTAGAAAGTCGGATACCCTCCATCAGTAATAAATATGGCAGAATTTTTGCGCAAAATTAATTTTCAAAATTCTTTGCACACACAATAACACACATAAAAATAAATAAAATATGAAAAAACGATAAATGATTAATAAACTCATAATAGTATGTATATACAAACCATGTTCAAATAATTAGTCTAATTAAAGGCAAAGTTCTATACAAAGTCCAATTAAAATAATAAAAAGCAAAGGAACAACTACGGTGCCGAGGGATGTACACCCATGATATCATAAAACTACGCCGTACGAGGAGTAACCTCTCCACCAGCTCCAGCTCCGGTCTCCTCGGGAGGTGGAAAACTCAGCACAGGACCCGTCCACCCTAGATCAACCTGAGGCTGAGGCTGCTGCGATGTCGAGCCGACCTCGTACATCCCACCACCTATAAGAGCCGAGGTAGCCTCTCCCTGGCCTACCGGCACAACATGTGCACCGTCAAATGAAGAGCCTGAGCCCTCTACCACCTCGGTACGGGTAGCCTTAGAACGACCGGCCCGATCTCCCAAACCAGTGCGGCGATGTCTCGAGCTAGACCTCACCGGTTCCCTCCGCACCTTAGGTCTCGTATGGGTACGAGAAGGAATGGGCTGACCCTGCAAAAGAAACAAAAATTATATGCAAAAAAAAGCGGTAATGCAAAAACATAAGAAGAGAAGCTACATCCTGAACGGCGTCGTCTCGACGACATGTATCCACGTTCCTCATCCGGACGAGCTGGCTCCGGAAGGCATCTATGCATCATGCCATCGCCGAGACCACCTCGCGTGAGAGTTGCCATGAAGTAAGTTAGTAACATGCATAACATATATAAACAAAAGTCGCAAATAAATAAGCTTACCTGAGTCTGGTGACGAGGAATCGACCGCTCCACAAAGCGCTCGCCCTTAGGAGCCGAAGGAATCATCTCCTCAATCGGCCCGTATGTCCCCATATAGTGGAT